TGGTTACTGTACTGGTTACTGTACTGGTCACTGTACTGGTCATTGTACTGGTCACTGTACTGGTTACTGTACTGGTCACTGTACTGGTTACTGTACTGGTCACTGTACTGGTTATTGTACTGGTTACTGTACTGGTCACTGTACTGGTCATTGTACTGGTCACTGTACTGGTTACTGTACTGGTCACTGTACTGGTCATTGTACTGGTCACTGTACTGGTTACTGTACTGGTTACTGTACTGGTTACTGTACTGGTCATTGTACTGGTTACTGTACTGGTTACTGTACTGGTCATTGTACTGGTTACTGTACTGGTTACTGTACTGGTTACTGTACTGGTCACTGTACTGGTTACTGTACTGGTCATTGTACTGGTTACTGTACTGGTTACTGTACTGGTTACTGTACTGGTCACTGTACTGGTTACTGTACTGGTTACTGTCCATGGTGATGATGGTATTGGAAAGTGTTGTATGACATTAACTTGAAAAGTTGGACCTGTATCTTGTGATTCCTTGTGGCTTTTAAAGACAATTAAATAATAAACTTGCAGATTCTGGAAGTGTCTTTCTTTGTGTCTTCAGGTTCTCTGACTCCCTCCCTCCATCTTAGCATGTTGATCCTCAGCAGTCGAATGCTAAGGCCTCCATATTTGAGTCGTTTTTTTACCCCTCCACCATTGCTTCACTCTTTCTCTCTTTCTTCACCATAAATGGTTCAAATCAGGAACGTAAATTGAGCTCTGAGATGCAAGCGTCTGTCTCACTTTGCAGCTAAAACCAGGCAAAAGGTTTGTGTTCATTTATGAAAATAACCACAAAATATCTCATAAGTTTGTGAGAATCTCCTGCAGCAAACAAGATCATTTTGTTAGTTTGTCTTTTTAGTTTTTAAATTTAATATGCAATTGAGGTGAAAGCACATCTTCCCTTTGACAGATTTCTATCAAAGAAGCCCAAACACATAAATCTGCTTGGGAATGAGACATGCATCAATAAAAGAACATATTTATTTATCTTTTTATCTAGATAATTTGTTCAGATCTAATCTATTTTTTTGTTGTCAGGCAGTGAAAAGGTCTAGATGGATCACATTTTTCACAAAATGTAAATTTTAACAGAAAACATTGTTTGCTGCTTGACTGTCTCTGCTGGTGGGACTGAGGGAGGCATTAAGCTGTAGTTGCAGCATGTTGCCACCAGAGGGCGTATTGAACACAAGTGTCAAACTCCAGTCCTCCAGGGCCAGTGTGTCCTGCAGTGTATAGATGTGCCACAGCTACAAAACACTGGAATGAAATGGCTTAATTTCCTTCTCCTTGTGTGGATCAAATCTCCAGAGCCTTGATAATTATTCTATTCAGGTGTGGTGCAGCAGAGGCTCATGGAAAAGTTGCAGGACATTCCAGGACCGCAGTTTGACCCCCTTTGGGGCATCACAGTAAAGCGGTCTCCACCAGGCCGGAGCCTCCCTGACCTGCCAGGGACTCAAAGCTGCTGAAACCTGCATGAACAGGTTCTGAAACTACTGAAAAGAGTCCAGATAGTCTTGAATTGAGGTTCTGTAAACTTTTAAAAAGACTTTATTGAAGACAGCTAATGCTCATCCACATTAAAGCTCCCAGTTTTAAACTTTTCAAATTTGGATGTTAATTTCCTTCAGCATGTTTAAGGTTCTGAGTCCCTGATGAAATTGGAAAGAGAAACATCTATAGAGGAATATTATGATTTATTATTCTTTATAAAAGATTTATATATTATATCGTTAATGTTTTTTTAATACAATAGTATTTCCTAACCCTGGTCCTCTAAGCACACTGCCCTGCATGTTTTAGATGTTTCCCTGCTTTACTATACTTGTCTATTGAAATAACTTGCTGAAACGAGGAAACACCTAAAACATGCCGGGCAGTGTGCTTTGAGGACCAGCATTAGGAAACACTGATATATAATTTGTTACAGTGTAAAATAATAGACAACACAAACCAAACACCTTATTATATTTTAATCAGTGTTGTAGTACTCGAAAACGGTCTTGGTCTCGAGACCGGTCTTAAGACCATTTTTTGATAGTCTCGGTCTTGTCGGACTCGACCACATTTGGTCTCGGTCTTGTCTCGGTCTCGGACATTGAGGACTCGGTATTTTATTTCAAGACCGGTCAAGACCACAACTGTGAAAATAACGCTAAATCATCAGTATCAATTTCTTTAAGATCCTTCTTTTTATTGGATGCACTCCTGATTCAAATCCAAGCAATAACCCGTCTCATTGGTAAATGCATGTTGTTGTTGAGCTGCGGACTGCAGCACTTCGATTGAAAGTTACAAGTGGTTGTCTGGGAAGGGGATAAGATGTCGGCCAAATCATCGGTTATAAAATTTGGCTATTTAAATCACAAACAATACATTTGTAAAGCAACATTGAGAAAAAAGCATACAGCGCAATGTAAGTTCTGCAGTGCTTCACTATCAGAGACGGTGGGGACTACGTCCAACTTTTATCGACACCTTGAAAGAAGCACAAAGAAAGGTAAGCTGTGTGTAAAAGTGATTAGGAAAGCTAGCAAGTTAACATAAGCAATTTCCTCGGTATCAAAATTATTCTACCCGGCCATCACACAGTTCTTATTTCAATATTAGCTACACATATTAAGTGTGAAAATATTGAGCTCCTCTGCCTTTTCGCCATGTTCCCAGTGCTAACTGGAGAAATACACAGCTTTGTCAAAAACAAACCATCTGATCCAGCAAAAGGGTCTTAGAACTGATAAAAGTCAGTCAGGTTTTTGTGCACGTATTTCAATGGGGTTTGTATTTCTGCAGATGGCAGTAGTCGCTCAGGGAGGAAGTGAAGGAGATCAATCTTTTTTTCAACAAATTATCAGTGTCATAACATATTGTCACAACTTGGTGATAGATATAGATTTATTTAAGAAAAGTTATATAATGTAGCTATAATCTGTATACGAGAGAGAAACGAGAGAAATGATTGGCATTTTCAGTTTTACACATGTGCACATGGTTTTGAAATAGCACATTTAAAAACAACATAAATGTATGTACTGTTCATGAAAGGCAGGGAAAATACTATTTTGATCGACTTTGATTGTTTGAAATTCTGTGATTACAACATAGAAGTACTAAATAAAGATGTTTGTTTATTCCAGTTCTCTGTGTAAAATATCTAGGTGTTTTTACGTGAATGTGGGTCTTTTAGATCAATTTTAATGATTTTGATCATGTTTCACATTTTATTGTCACATACTGGCGCTGGTCTTGGTCTTGACTCGGTCTCGACTTCCCTCGGTCTTGGTCTTGACTTGGTCCCGGACCCTAAAAGTCTTGGTCTTGTCTCGGTCTCGATACACTCTGGTCTTGGTCTTGTCTTGGTCTCGGGTTAGGTGGTCTTGAACACAACACTGATTTTAATCTTTCACAGTTTAAATCTGTATCTTTGTCCATTACTCTGTAATTCTATTACTCCAAAAATAACCTTTGAAGAAAATGATTCCCAGTGAACATTAGAAAAAAAATGCTTAAATCATCATTAATAAATAAATCCACCTTTGGGTAAATCTGTTACTGATAGACTGTAGACCTGTCAGCGCTGTTACATTTTTGACTCCAATGTGGAAATAACACCAAACTGACTTCAGCACATTTTCCGATGCAGAACTCATATATTCAATGTGAACATGAAGTAAATTGTTTGTTCCAAAGTCAGTTTCACATTTCTGCTTCATTTGATAATTTTCTACATTTGAGGGCTTGTGTATCTGATTTCAGGCAGAGCAACAAGAACCCAAACGGTTGCTGTACCTCACTCTGTGTTCACAAACACCTTTTAAAGATGCATTTCCACTAAATGTTCAAGATAAGGAAAGATCCATAATCTGAAAACCAGAACGCACTTTATATCTTCTATATATAAAAGAGAAAATATATGTGTGGAGCTCTGCAAGTCAGAATTCAATCAGCAACAAAGAACTTTATTTATGCACATAATGAAATGGAGCAGCAAGTGACTTCTAGCAAAACTAAACACTTCATCATCTTAACTGAGCTAGCAAAGTAAGCAAAGTGAAATACTTTTTCTGTTGATGGAGGGAAAAAAAACACTTGTGTCTGTCAACACAGTTCAATGTTTGCACTTTTGTAACAGGCGAGTTACACAGTTATGTCTGCTTGGTTGCCGAAGAATAAAAATAAATCATTTTCAGAACTGATTGGTTGGTATTTTTTCACAAATCCAATGTTTGGTAGCATTACATGAAATATCATTCCAAGTTGCGCCGTCATGCAATGTGAAATGCACACAGTCCTCCTCACCCCACTTTGGATCTCCACCACCGTTATCAGGCTGATCGAAGCGCCAGAACCTGGAATAAAGAATAAAAAGCTTCAAAATACAATTTGAATCATTTCTAGCCAACAATAATTAGGTCTGTGATGGAGATATAATTATGGTTATTAAACCGGTATTGTCTTGTGTCCTCAGATTTTGACAAGTTAAGAAGCAATCAGATGAAGAAAACATTGAGACACAATCATTCAAAATGTTTTTTTTTTCAAAATCAATTTGATCAACTAAATAAACCTTGAAATTCCTTAAATTTCACATAAACTTGTGACTTGTTTGCCATTCAAATGTAATTCTACTGCATTGTAAAGCTTCAGAGTTTTCATATTTATTTTTAAGCGTCAATAATAAATAACTGATAGATATTGGGGGTAACTTTTTTAATTAGATCAGATAATAAAGTTAATAATGATGCTAAAAAATAAAGATCAAAGGTTTTGAGTCTGTGATTTATGCAAATGAAATTCTTAAATTCAATGTGATCTAACTTCCTGTTCATGTTCACTTCATATTTGACAACATGATTTGTCAAATATCAAGTGTTTATGCAAACACCATGATATAAACTAAAGTAAACACCATGCAGAGTCATTGTCGACGCTCAATAAAAGACTGGATCCTTACGTGAAATTCGGAGCGGTTCCATCAACCCACAGCCAGGATCCCTCAGTTTCCCGGTCGCTCAAACCAATCCATGCGTCCATCTTGAATTCAGCAAGAAATTGCTGTAAAATGTTGACAGAAACAGGTTTTGATCATTAATTTAGTTAAAAAAAATCTTGCTCCATCACCTTATTTCAAATATTGTGCGACTGGTCGCTTAGCAAATTATTGCTAAATACTAATTTACACATTTTAGAGGAAACTCCTTGTCAGTGGAAAATCTAGTTGAGTCTTTTACTTTTACATTATACCATACAGGAAATACAAAATAACATGCCCACTCACTACATTACATATCATAATTTTAATTTCTCCTCTTATACGCTCAGTCAGCGGTGTCCCTCTAAAATCTCTCATCACCTGCTCCTCAGGATCATTTATCACCACCAGATCTCCTCCTTTTCTGAAGCAGTCCGCTCTGCCTTCATCCCAGGATGAAGTCTTGTTATCAGAGGCTTGGTAACAAGAGCTGTTGAACGTGAACCAGTCGTCAGGACATGTTGCGTCTGGAAGAAGAGAATCAAGTTCAGATGATTTTCAAATTCATATTTATATTTTAATGTTTCTTTCAATGTGAAGTATCACTGTGAAATATTCAGACTGTTTATATGCCGGCCACAAGGAATGATCATCTAAAAACGACTGTGTTAAAGAGCAGGAAGTGAAGAGCAAACAAGAAACAGCTTTGTCAAATTGTGGCATGAAAATATTATTGTGCTACCTATCATCTTACTATGAAATACATATTGCTCACGTTACAACATAGCTTATTTTCTTCCAGCACGGTATAATATTGGACTGGCGTAATCATATGCTATGCAAGCATCAAAAGCATATTGTTAGAACAATGTTTTATTTTAATGCAAAGCATTTCACATTTGTAAATACACAAAATCCTACATAGATAAAAATTTAAACGTCTTCAATTTATCTTAGGAGTGAACATGGCAGATAATTTGGACCAATTTTGTCGTGACTTTAACTTCACGTCAGCCGCCTTTACCGAACAAAACTAAAGACTTCCTTTCAAACAAATTGCAAAACCGGAGCAACTCTTTAGTCGTCTCACCAAGCTCGGTGTTCAGCAGGTCTTTCTCAACGGATAGGAGAGAAAGGTTTTCTCACTTTCTTGGAACGACGCTGTCAGATTGACTGAAAGTCCGAGAGGTGATTTTCTTCTGTCATATTAAACATGGAGTTATCTGAAAATAGATCAGAAAAACGAGCTTGAAAGTTGAAACAGAAAAATTAATCAACACCACATGGGCTTTTGGCGTTATACATATATATACGTGTTTATATACTAAAAGTAATACAGAAATACCTACGCTATCAATATTTTTTATTAAATAAAAAATGGTGTACGTGTTTAGGGCTTACTCTGCACAGACCATCCTTCACCGACTCTCACTTTAAGATACTCAATCAGCTGGTCTCTCTCTTTGGTTATGTTGAAAAACGATTCATTGCAGGCGAAGAGACGTTTAGTCAGATCACTCAGGAGTTCCTCATTTGAATTACATTTGGAGTCACTATCTGAAATAAATGAACATAAGAAAAGGATGTGAGTTCAGAAAGATATCAGGAGAGCTTTGAATTTAAATGTGACTTCTTGAAGGCTCTGAGATCGTAATTTGTGAAAGCTCACTCTGTGCGGACAGAGCTCTGTTTAGTTCTGCAGATTTCTCATCAAGCGTCGTTTTCAGCTGTTTTATTTCTGAAAGTCTGGAGTCGTGAGTCTTTTTCAAGTCCTGGAGTTCCTCAGTTAGTTGCCGTTTGGCGTTGTTGTCTGTAATTCATGAGGAAAACAGATTTTTACTGAGGGAAAGACGACAAAGACACAACAATGTCCTGACGGGACTCTCATTTGGCTTTGTTTCAGGAAAGTTGTTATTCAAAACGATAAAGCATTACATACATTATAAACTGCTACAGAAGAAGTTATTTATACCATACTTAGTTATCAATAGAAAAATCTGTATTGTTATTGCAACACATCAGGCGACATGTCATGTAATTGTTGATCAGAACTTTTGTCTGGAAGACCTCTTTGCCATTACCCTAATCTTAAGATCCTTCTAAAGATTCTGCATTGGATTCAGATCAGGACTCTGATTGGCCCACTACAAAACCTCAGTATTACATAGAAATACTCAAAAATTACTTTTAATCCTCTGTGTCAGGTGTAGTATCAATCATAGACTTATCTGTACATTAGAAACAATTTCTGTTTATGAATAAATACTTTCTGTTCAGTCCCTCTTTTCATCACAAAAATTAAACGTTTATTTACTTATATTTCTAGAAACTTCCAAATATCAAAAACTAAACTTACCATCATATACTTAAATAATAATTGAAAATTGCTACCATCCTAAAATCATGTATAAAAAAAGGACAAAAAATAAATAAATAAATAGCATCACTTTCTTTTCAAAAGATGTTTTAGGCAAAAAAAAAAAAATAAAAATTTTGGCAAAAGTTTTGTGCTTTAAAAACAAACAAGATATTTTTTCTGACTTCATGTGTTGAGAACGAAGACCAAAGAGAGTTATTGAAACCTTTAGTTGGATGCGCAGGTCGTAATAACAAGTTGTTATGAGCAGACTCACACTGAGTGTTGGCGACCAGCAGTCCGATGAGCAGGCAGATGCTGAACACGCCGAAGAACAGAATAACACTCAGATGGAAACGACTCTCTGAACCTGAACAGAGGGAAGATTACAGCCACGACACCGGACAACAGAAACGACATCAGGTTGTTGGTCTGAACTAAACTCACCTCTGCAGTTTCCTAAAGAAGCAGAATTGGAAAGTCTGCTGTGTTGAACATGCATGTGCTTCTTCTCCATCGTGACCCGTTGGCTGTGGGCTGTGCAGCACCAGCAGTTAATGTAACCTGCAAATCAGGACTGGTACCAAAGACTCTTCCTGTGCCTAGACACACCCACAGACATGACAAGCAGCACCGTCACACAGGAATCTGTTGAATAGTTGGACATTTTTGGTTTGCAGTTTTATATGCATATTGGTTTCTTCTTGAAAACTCCACACAAAGAAAGTCAACATCCTGCTTTCTCCGCTGCTTGATAACAATGAATGAGACGTTTTGTGGTGCATTTCTGGCATGCGAGAATATAAACTGAATATTGTAATGATGATACTTGATAAAATATGACTTTTACATGGAGTTTTAAGAAGGAAAACTAGTTTAAATTCTCGCTGGTTATTCTATGAAATGTTCAGACGTCTCTGAGGCGAGGAGGTATTTGTCATGTTAATCATGATTTTAATTTATGTATGTATTTTAAACACATTAGAGCCTTTGGTGTTAATCAGCTTTTCATAAGAAAGTTTAACACCACATGGCAGCGAACTTAAAATGTTGGCAAAGACATTGTTTTGGGTTGATTTTCACACATGTACAAATTATTTTACAAGACAATCACGGAGTGTGGAATCTGTTCCAGTTGGGTTTGTTGGTTTGATAAAAATGTTCCAGGTTGAGTTATTTCCAATACTGTTTCACAGTGCTTTTTTTATTATTATGAATATTTTTTGATGGTTTCAGTCCATCAAACAGATGTTATCATGAGACAAAAATACAAAATGCCTCCATTTGTAAGCAAAAAACCTATCCAACAAACCCGACTCTATGTGAAAACTATTTTTTCCCCCTTGATGGCAACAGCTGAAGTCACCTGAGTGTTTTGCATCACTGTGGGGGAAATTTTGTAGACTTGCTTTAATTGAACAAGACTGAAGAGGTTTGTAGAATGAGCGACTGTTAGGAAAATTATTATCTTAGTTCTTTTACTTTTATATTGGATGGTTATGTTTTCATATTATTCCGTGTGTTGTTTTCTTTCCCTTTCTTTTATTGCATATCCTCAACTGTCTTTTAGAGTTTTCTCTTGAAGGTTGGAAATGTCTCACAGATTTCTGTGTTAACGAGCCACAATGATCTTTGTCTGTATTCTGAGAGTGGTCATCCTTGTGTCCCAACAATGGGACATCAATGGGAGACTTCCAGAACATCCTGTAGGATAGTGTATTGGTCAATTGTTTGCATGTCTGAGTGAGAAAGACAACCTCTTTGTGTATTCACATAATAATAAAAGGCAGTTGGGGACTGAAAACAGACGGAGTTGACCTCAGACAGCGTTTGGCAGCGGTTCTCTCCGCGTCGAGCTCTTCTCCCCTTTTCTGCGGAAAAGTAATTTGTGTCTTTGGTTGATTCTTGCAGGTTGGGGAACAAAATAAACCCAACAGAGACCTGTTCAATCAAATTAGGATTTAAACCGGGACTTGGCGACCCCACTTCAAAACCTACTGTTGCTCATTTTCCTTCTGAGGTGGATTTGCTGGTGTGTTTTGAAAATTATTCAGATCACAGCATTGAGTGATTTGAGGCTACAAGACCTTATTGAGATCAGTGTTTCTTTTTTTTTCTTAAAAATTGAAAACATCTTTCGAGAACCGCTTGTGGCGTTTACTCAGATCATCTGATCAGCCAGGCAGTGAAACCTATCTGATGGTTGACATGAGCGGAAAACCCAACTTTGAAGCAGCAGGAAATATTTGTGCTCGTCTGTCGGTTTATCTTTGCAAATAATCTGCCACAGACTTTTAAAACTCTTAGGGTAAGTGCTGTGATAAGAAACACATAAGCCTCGACCCAATTTCCAACTTCCACTCCGCGGTATATCAACCACCGCCTCCAGCTTCCTGCGTTCATCGAAAAACAGCATGCCATCAGCTATAAATCAACATTAGCTCTCAATTAATGAAAGGTAACATTTGAAAGTTTTACTCTTTTTATGTTTGAGTCAATTAGATAAGCATTACCAAAAGGTTTTGCTTTTTTATCAAATAAATGATCAACTCGTCAAATTACATTTTCTTCACCACTGTAAGCCTCCAGGATTCCAGAATATTACCAACCTCCAGGTCAGCTTCTATAACTTCTGGTTTTTAGTTTTGTTGTGCCAACCTGCATTTTGCAACAGCTGTTCCTCTTTTGTTTCTGATTAGTTCAACTAATTATTAATACAGTTCCACTTCTTCCTTTTTAAAAAATCGATCCGTTGTCAATGTTCTTCGCTGGTATCTTCTGCTTTCTGCCTCCCTTGACTTGACTTTTCCTGCGTTAAATTGTTGTAAGTTATTCTTCATTTTATTAAATATTCAATTTTGCCACATTATATCTCTACACTTGGCTGCTCTGCAAACTGAAATCTAACTATATCAGCTGTGTGACAGTCAGACAGTGAAATCCAGAGACAATTTCAACTATAATGTCAGAAATAAGTCCTAAGTGACTCGTGTGTAATTTACTGGAAGAAGCAGCTTGGATAAAAAAAACAAAAAACATTTTTGAATTGGTTCAAGAACTGTCAAGTTAGCATTTTCTTTTAACTAATCTGGAATAAACTGTTTAAAATCAATTTATTTTATTAAAAGAGGAACAGCCTTAAACTTCTAGGTGTGAACTGAAAAATAAGTTATTTAAAAAATGCTAAACTGACAGGCTTGTTTTACAGTGTAGTTAGAAAATTATTTCACAGAAAATGTCGTGTTCATGTTGTTTGGAAGCAAATGATGTTTTTATAATGTGTTAATTAAATGTAAATATATTCTATACTTTGTGATGGCTGATTTAAAGGCGCCACTCGGTGCTTTCTCTGTGATTTAAGCATTAAACATTTAATTATCTATAAGTTTTTAAAAAGATTAAGGTATTGCTCTCAGAAACAATGTTTGGGTTTAAATGCTCAGCATTCTTAAAACTTGCAACTTCCTCATGAAAAACTAATTTTCACTTTTCATGTAGTTCTGTTTTTGCTGCAGATAAGACGCTCAAACCAATGGAGGAAATCTATGATAATATTGAAAATGTCTGCAACATTTCAGTGGTAAAGGACAGAGGTAAGAATGATCTCTGAGAGAAAAGCATAAATTTATTTTGTCAATATTACCAAGGAGAAATTAATGGTACTGAAATAAATTGTCTTCAGTTCCTAGCAGCTCTAAGAAGAGGCTCTATGTGGGTGTTATTGTCTCTTTGGGGATCCTGAGTGTTGGCCTCCTTATTGGACTCATCAGGCTCGGTTTCCTCTGTGAGTTTTGTTAACATTTATTTATCTCTCATCACCTGTTCTGCTTTATTTCTTAAGGCATGAAACATGGCTTGAAATAAAGAAAAGGAATAATTTTATCAATGAATAACAACAATACAGTAGCTTATGAAAGAATTCATGTCACTTGAACTTTTCCATTGTTAATTATATTATATTATTTTATATCCACAAACATAAATATGTTTCATTGGAATTTTATGTGAAAGACCAACACAATGTGGTGATACCATTAGGAAGTAGAAAGAAAATTAATTGGTTAATTAGTACCTCTGACTCTAAATCAAACCCCGTTAAAATGACTTTTAGTGGAAAGTAGAAGAAAAACATCTATGAAAACTTGATTATCAGTTCATTCTTCCCAGTAAATAAGTCAAAGTTTTCTCTTCGAACACACAAGTCACTGTATGTTCTTGGATTTAAATAAAGGTTTTAGCAAAATTTCTGTTAGATTTGTTTTTTTCTGTGACAAAACCCTCTGAAAATTATTGCCTTGCTTATAAATCACAAAATAAAAAACGATTGTCATCAAAATCCAGAGTGGTAAAAGTCTTTTTTTAAACAAATAAACATATTTTATCAGGTTTTAACAAACATGTTTTGCATTTCAGATATATTTTACCTTAAATTATTTCAGCTCACAGATTATCCATCTCAGCAGCAGATCTCTCTGATATGAAAGACAATCTGACTAAGGAAAGAGACCAACTGAATGTAAAACTCTTGGAAAGGTCTGATGAAGTGACCAGGCTTCAGAGTTTGTTGAAGAAAAGTAAGTCCTCATGTGTTTGTGAGAACATCTTATTTGTAGAGACTTAAAATCCTTATAATGCAAACTTTGGTTTAAGTTGGTTTAAAATATCTACTTGTTCATATTTTAATGACTAGTCAAATGAGTGATGAAGCAAAATTACATCATAAAACCTGACTGATTTTGAAAACATTGTTTTCTGCTAACAATAACAAAAATAATTAGTAACTTTTTTTTTTTTTTTGAATGGAGCTAATTATTTTTTTGGATGTTTTAGAGAAAACCTGTCCTGCAGGATGGAGCATGTTCCGCTGTTCTTGTTATTTCCTCTCTGCAACATCTGCTAATTGGTCTGTAGCCAGAACAGACTGCATGAACAGAGGAGGAGATCTGGTGGTGATAGACGACGAAGATGAACAGGTGATGTGATCTTTCAGTGTGAGATTCACTTATGTTTGCAAATGAGATTCATACTTTCCTATTTCCTTTAAGATAAACATAAGATAAACATTGCGCTACAAAATGTTTCCATAATGCTTCTAGGATTGGAATAAAATCTACAGACATTTCCAACGTAATTACATGTTTTAAATGTGTTACACATGAAGCAGTACCTCTGTCTATTGCATTGTAGACAGATGTACTGAATTAGTTCACTTTTTTCTGTTTTGATTACTTGCCAAAGCAATAATACCAAAACTGATATTAATTTATGAAGAGACAAAGCTGTGTAAACACATCTTGCCCTGTGTGAGAAAATTGTCTTCAAAGCTAAAAACTGGTTGTGCAAATTTCTGCAAATAAATTCAGCCACAATGTGTCATGTTTAGTTTGAGTTTTCTGAACCCACACTTAGAAACACACTGATGGCAGATAAAGGTTTGACTTTTTTAGTTTTTTTTGTTAAACACAAACATGTGGAAATCGTTTATGAATTGATGTTGAAGATGCCAGCATAGTTGAACTGGTTACTTTTATTTTCAAATAGGATTTTGATTATTTTTTAAAAAGATATTAGAATTTGATTTTTTTTTATTTGTCAGGTGAATTACTTTTACTTTGCTTTTCTATTTATTGATAGAAAATGTTTCTTTCTTTGGCGTTTCATTGTAATATGTTGTAAGATAAAACAGAAAACTGCTGGACTGAAACTTTCCTGGAGGAGAATCTCAGCTGAAATGGTTATGACTCATCAACTAGTCGTTCTCTCTTCTCTGCCATTAACGTTTTACTGTCATGAACAGTGAAAATAATCCTACATCAATTCTTATGTGTGTTGTTTTTGTCTATCTCCTCCGTCTTCTCAAACCTCCAGTCAGTCGTGGCAGATGCAGGCTCTTGTACTGATCCGGGTTCTGGTTCTGCTGGAGATTTCTTCTTGTTAAAGGGCAATTTTTCCTCTCTACTGTTGCTACAATACTGTTCAGATTTGCACAGGTTAACTTTGTCTGTTAAGTTTGTTTTCTGTTTTCATTTGGTTTACTATGTACAAGAATTAATAACTACCAAGCTAATTATAGAGAATAATAGTCATCTGGACCAAAATCACCAATCAGTGAGTAGGGTTAGGGTAAACTTAAGTCTGGACAATACCTGATCACCAGGAAATAGCTTTCAGGCTCTGTTATTTATGATAAATTCCTGCCTACTGAGGATTAATTAAATTTAATCAATGATGCTGTCAAACAGCATGACTTGTCACAATGTAAGAGTTTATTCAACAACATTTTGACCTGCCCTTCAAAATCTCTTAATCAACAAAATCACTATGTTAGAATCATTCACGCAAAATACAAAGTAAAAATTAACTTTTGACCAATAAATGAATGCAATGACATCACTATAGATACTGTAAATGTGAACTTTGAATGTTTAAGCTAAGTTTTGAAGTACTGGAGCTTGGAGCTACATTTGTATAAATAGCTTATAATAATAACAGACTTTAGGACTTTTTACAGGTTAGTGAGGTGAGATGAAAGAAAAAATACCATTAAAACAGACAATAAAGTCTCCATCATAGAGCTTGATTTAGTGTGACTGGAGTGTAAGCATTCAGAAGTATTGATATCAAATAGAAAGCTACCAAATATTGCAATTGCATGAAAACTGTTTCTGACCTTTGGCTTTTCATTGTAATAAGTTGTAAGATAAAACAGAAACCATCTGGAAGAGGGAAGGAGAGGAAAGATTTAAGAACAGCTTGTTTTCAAAGTGATCAATACATCTGGATTACAATCATAATATGAACACTTTGTTGTGATTCAAGTCTAAAAGCAATATTTTTTATGTTCTTTGACAGAAATCTCTTTTTACCCTTACTGAGAAGTCAACATGGATTGGTTTGACTGATGAAGAAACAGAGGGATACTGGAAGTGGGTTGATGGCACAGCTCTGAGTCCTCAGTAAGTTTTTTGTATTTTTATTTCTGACTCAAACCCAGAATGGGATCGCTTTACTTTAGTTTGTATGAATGCTGGTGTTTAGTTCTGTATATAAATGTAGTGTGCAAAATAATAGCAGTTCAACATTACAAATCAGATCAATTATGGTTTCAGTAGAAACATATTTAATTGATTATTTTTCTACATAATAAGTAGCGTAACAGAAAATGTACAGTCCTGACTGTCATGATATGTAATGGTGGCAAACAATCAAGCGAGCTGTTGTGATTGAGTCCACAACATTTTAATGTAATAATTGTTATAAAGTAACTCGGTTAGCGTATCAATACTCAGCCCTTAGAAAAACAAACATCTGTTTGTCGTCTCCCAGCAGCAGCAGAGTGATATTGACCCCTCCACAACCTCGTCAAACTAGTAAATAACACACAAAACAACACAAAACAGTTTTAATAAACACAGAACAGAGGTTTAAATAACTTCAATTATTTCATCAAAATGGCTTGTGTGCCACACATGCTATTGATGCTCTGTAATGAATTTATTAATAGAAATGTAAAATGATTTATTACAGAGATAAGGTTTAACAAACGGAGTAAACCTTAATCCTATTAACACTCAAAGGACTAAAGAGGATGAAGTGCCGCCCCAGCAATGAAACAAAAATAACCAAACAGTCTAAAATGAATTGAAAATAAAAACACTGATGGAGCACTGAACCTCCCAAATACAAGTCAGTCTAAAGTGATTAGAGCCAATCAAGAGCAGTCAGACTGTGAGGCAGAACAAAAGGCCATAAAGGCATTAAATGTGACCACAATATTACAACTTTGTTCTGAAAATATTACGTCTTTTTTAGTTTGACTATTGTATAGTAATATTATAACTTTATGGCCCTAAAGTTCTAGTGAGGGTCAAACCCAGAAATACAAAAATGATACAGACAAAAGCAACAGTATCTATAGAGATCCAATATTTAGATGGTTTTCAGGAAATAGTTTTCAGCAATAACTCACTGCAGGAAGGTTTTCCACCTAAACAGAAGCACCAGGCCAAAATAAACTTGTTTGTAAAGAAAAACCTGAAATAATCAGGAAATGGAAAATTGTGATGATATAAACACTTTTTGTAAACACTGCAGTTATTTTTAACACAACTTTGTTTCTCATTGAAAGTTAAGAAATTGAATCCTTAAAATACAGGAAGTTGTGCTAATTCAAACTGTGTAAATTATTTATTTATCTTCTGGTTCCAAAGACATTTACTGTATATCCACTTGCAATGTTGAACATCAAAACTTAAAAGCAACATTTTCTTTTTGTTTGTTGTGAAACATAATCTGATTATAACTCTCTTGTTTACAGACTTTCTAAGTTGTGGGCAAAGGGCCAGCCTGATAATGCTGATAGCGGTGAAGCTTGTGCACAGAGCTGGAATAACCATAAGTCATGGAATGATAATAATTGTAATGCTTCTTTCCCGTGGATCTGTGAAAAGGATCCAATGTAACAATGGCTAAATATTAATTGTTGCTTTCCACTTTAGACTAAGTTTAAGCTTTATGCTTTATACTCCACTGCAGTTACCTGAAAATGTTAGTACTGTTATAAAGATACATATGGAGGCTTTTCAGACTGAAAATGTGTGCTATTGAATTATGCAAAAAGAAAAATTACCCTGTAGACACAGTGCCTTTAAATAAATAATAATAATAATACATTTATAGATTAGTTTTAAATGTAATTTCTTTAACATAAAAGCTTCTTAAATGTGGATCTACAGCCTGTTGTTGTCTGCTTCATTGTAAAGCCTGTTGAAATAAATCCTGTCATCTGTAACATCCAGCAGTGTGTGAACATCCATAGAAAGGCCTGATTTTCATATTCCTGTCAGCTTACTGTACTGGTTACTGTACTGGTTACTGTACTGGTTACTGTACTGGTTACTGTACTGGTACTGTACTGGTTAACTGTACTGTTCTTTTTACTGTACTGGTTACTGTACTGGTTACTGTACTGGTTACTGTACTGGTCATTGTACTGGTCACTGTACTGGTCACTGTACTGGTTACTGTACTGGTTACTGTACTGGTCACTGTACTGGTTACTGAACTGGTCACCGTTCTTTACTGTACTGGTCACTGTACTGGTTACTGTACTGGTTACTGTACTGGTTACTGTACTGGTTACTGTACTGGTCACTGTACTGGTTACTGTACTGGTCACTGTACTGGTCACTGTACTGGTCACTGTACTGGTTACTGTACTGGTTACTGTCCATGGTGATGATGGTATTGGAAAATATATGACATTAACTTGAAAAGTTGGACTGTATCTTGTGATTCCTTGTGGCTTTTAAAGACAATTAAATAATAAACTTGCAGATTCTGGAAGTGTCTTTCTTTGTGTCTTCAGGTTCTCTGACTCCCTCCCTCCATCTTAGCATGTTGATCCTCATCAGTCGAATGCTAAGGCCTCCATATTTGAGTTGTTTTGTACCCCTCCACCATTGCTTCACTCTTTCTCTCTTTCTTCACCATAAATGGTTCAAATAAGGAACGTAAATTGAGCTCTGAGATGCAAGTGTCTGTCTCACTTTGCAGCTAAAACAAGCAAAAGGTTTGTGTTCATTTATAAAATAACCACAAAATGTCTCATAGGTTTGTGAGAATCTCCTGCAGCAAACAAGATCATTTTGTTAGTTTGTCTTTTAGTTTTTAAATTTAATATGCAATTGAGGTGAAAGCACATCTTCCCTTTGACAGATTTCTATCAAAGAAGCCCAAACACTTACATCGGGTCTCTGACTCTACAGTCATGTACTCTACAGGTTCTTGATTGGATTTTTACACCTTAACTCTAGTTATTCAACATGTTTGGCCTTGTTCTTTTACACATTAATTGACACTTATCTATTGGTGTCACATACAGTTAACCCAAAATTATTAGCCCCAGCAGATTTGGATTTAAAATGATTTTGAATTCAATGAAGAAGTGCTTTTCTGCTTGGGAATGAGACATGCATTAATAAAATAACATATTTATTTATCTTTTTATCTAGATAATTTTTTCAGATCTTCTAATGTATTTTTTTGTTGTTAGGCAGTGAAAAGGTCCAGATGGATCACATTTTTCAGATAATGTAAATTTTAACCAACAGAAAACATTGTTTGCTGCTTGACTGTCTCTGCTGGTGGGACTGAGGGAGGCATTAAGCTGTAGTTGCAGCATGTTGCCACCAGAGGGCGTATTGAACACAAGTGTCAAACTCCAGTCCTCCAGGGCCAGTGTGTCCTGCAGTGTATAGATGTGCCACAGCTACAAAACACTGGAATGAAATGGCTTAATTCCCTTCTCCTTGTGTGGATCAAATCTCCAGAGCCTTGATAATTATTCTATTCAGGTGTGGTGCAGCAGAGGCTCATGGAAAAGTTGCAGGACATTCCAGGACCGCAGTTTGACCCCCTTTGGGGCATCACAGTAAAGCGGTCTCCACCAGGCCGGAGCCTCCCTGACCTGCCAGGGACTCAAAGCTGCTGAAACCTGCATGAACAGGTTCTGAAACTACTGACAAGAGTCCAGATAGTCTTGAATTGAGGTTCTGTAAACTTTTAAAAAGACTTTATTGAAGACAGCTAATGCTCATCCACATTAAAGCTCCCAGTTTTAAACTTTTCAAATTTGGATGTTAATTTCCTTCAGCATGTTTAAGGTTCTGAGTCCCATGAAATGGAAAGAGAAACATCTATAGAGGAATATTATGATTTATTATTATTTTAGCATAAATCTGGTTTTACTTGGCCTATTAATACAATTTAAAAACTGGTGAGTAGATTATAATGTTCACATTAAGCACAAGTTGAAAGTTAGAGTGGGGTAGCACAAATCGACGTAGCATGATTTGTGCTACATTGTCACAGATCAGACATGTTAAAAACATGGTATAAGACTGCAGAGTTACCAGTGAATTTGTATGTTTGAAAATAAAGGCATTATTGAGATATATACCCTCAATCACTTTTCTTAAAATGACACACTGCAGTTACTTTGAACACCGTTATCAAAAGTAGAGAAACCGTATTTAAAATATGGGAAGTTGTTGTGTTAATGGTGAATGTCAAAAAACAACTTTTTGTCTTCTAGGGTTCAAAACCAACTACAACCATTTCTATTGTGGTTTATTTTGGCTGTGTATAATTTGGCTGTGTGTAATTATTTTTGTGTGTAATTTCTGTGCCTAGATCCCTACATTTGACCTGACCATTAAAAGAGTTGTCTGAGTCTCTGCTGAGCAGGTGAAGTGTCATTTTTAAGATGGATGACGTGTACGTAAGCAGGAAGTACAATGACGACCCGCCAAGAAGGGATTCCTTTTATTTAGCAAGTCTTTAGGTGAACTGTTCAAACTATACATGTACTTTTGGTGAAAATGAGGAGTGTTGTGGATCTGCTGCTGTTTCAGTCTCTGCAGCTGCATGTGGGGTGAGAAGTATGTGACACTTCTTGCCCAACATCGGACATTTACTATAGAGTCAGAGAGAACTGGATAAAAATAAAGAAATTCAGTTATTTGAATTTCTTTCTAAAACAGGAACCCTACTGGTCAGTCTTTCATTTCCACATGGTTTGTATAGATGTCAATAAGTTGTGTTTTCCATTTAATTTGTTAGGTCAGTTTGTGCTCAAGTTCTTTGGGTTACTACCCAAGTTGAAGTCTACTTTGTTGACTTGTTTTTTATGCTGGCACAATTCATCATCTGTTGAAATCTGGTTATTTAACCTTTTTGTTTTTTAGGTAAATTAAGGATCTTTTTGAAACTATTCAGCGTCTCTCTGGCTGCTCGGTGTTAATCCCTCTCACTGGTTTATAGTCTTGCGCAACTAATTTCAACTCTGAATAATATCCATCTTTCTCAGAATTGCAACTTCCTCAAACTCAGTTTAGCAGTTCTCAGATATTTCTGGTTTGGCGGCAGATCGGAAAGTCTACAAAACGTTCAGCATCTGTCAAAGCAATGGAGGAAATTTATATGAATGTTGATCCTGAGAAAAGTGACTGGCAAATTCCTGTTGCAAAGAATGAAGGTAAGAACAACAGGAGAAAGAGAAGCATGAATATATTTTGTTGTAGAAATGAAATGAATGTATTTCCTTTGTGAAGGTTCTGGCGGCTCTAAGAAGAAGCTCTATGTGGGTGTCATCATCTTTCTGGGGCTTCTGAATGTTTTCCTGCTGATTGGACTCATCAGTCTTGGTGTTTTCTGTGAGTTTTGTTGTCTCATATTTAACTGAGTCTGTTCTGCTTTATCTTTAAAGGCAGAAAATAAAAATAAAAATATTGTCATCAAAATCCAGAATGGTCGAATCACTCTCAGCATTAAAACCAACTTTCTAAGTTAAAGTTAAATGAGTATATCTTATTAAGCTTTTCTGTTTTTCTCTAATAATGTGCTTTAATTACTTTTAGCTCATGATGTCGGCGGCTTGGCAGCAGATTTCACCAAAGACAATCTGACTGATCGTCTCCAGGACAGTGATGACCGGCTTTCTGTAATGACCGAAGAAAGAGACCGTCTGAAAGCAAACCTCACAGAAATGATCAGGCTCCAGAGTTTGTTGAAGGAAAGTAAGTCTTCAGGTGTTTGTGAGAAAAACTTCTTTTCTAAAAGACAGAAGATCCTTTTGATACCATCTTTGGTGTAAGTTCCTTCCTGCAGAGTTTCACTCTCAATCTGTGGGTTTTTATGTTTATTTAACTGTTACTAAAAACCCTGGATCCTCAAAATAATATAATTTATAGTTCAAATATTAATCACTTTACAAATGGGCGATTATGCAACATTGACTTTCTGTTAGCTTAATAATTAGTAGGCAGTGTTAAAAAACAGCTAAATATTCTTTTATCTTTTAGAGAAAACATGTCCTGCAGGATGGAGCATGTTCAGCTGTTCTTGTTATTTCCTCTCTACATCATCTGGATCCTGGGATGAAGCCAGAACAGACTGCATGAACAGAGGAGGAGATCTGGTGGTGATAGACGACGATGATGAAGAGGTGATGTGATCTTTCAGTGGGACATCATTCATTTATGTCTGCGAATGAAATTCATGTCTTTCTTTCATAGTTCCTTGAAAATATTGTGTAACAAGATGTTTCCATGACATTTTAGTACGATCCACAGACATCACCATTGTGGTATACTATAGACAGAATATATAACAATATTGCTCCCTCTCTCATGCATATTGCTGTTTTGAATAGGTTCAGTTTATTTTTTTAAAATATTTAATACAATGAAAATACACCGAAATTTTTTTAACACATTAATGTAAACATTTTAATTTTAAATGGCTCTGTCATGAAAAAAATGTCCACCATATCTCTTCGTTTTTGCTCATATGTCAAACATAATGATACCATATTAAGATAAACTGAGTAGATGAAAATCTTAGCATTTCTGACTTTATTTACTGTGCATTGTGTCGTGTTTGGGAGATGAATGTTTAGTAGTGTCCTTATGTTTTTGTTTTTTTTATTATTTTTTTTTTTTTATTTTAAAATAAAGAAGTGTGGAACTGACTCCAAAGAAAATGACTCCTTCAAATTAAAGTGTTGTTAAAATTTAAGAAGGATTAATTTATTTTTTTTATGAAAACAACTAGAAAAAAATTTACTGTTTAATATTTAGGTGAATAAATTCTAAAACCTTTAATAGAAATGTTCTTTACCTTGCATGTCATGTTATAAAACAAGCAACTGCTGTACTGAAATCTTAATGTTTTTTCTATAATATTGACAGAATTTACTTTCTAAAATGACCAAAAAAGAAACATGGATTGGTTTGAATGATAAAGAAACTGAAGGATCCTGGAAGTGGGTTGATGACACTCCGCTCACTCAAGCGTGAGTTTCACACTTTATTTCTTATTCTTTGCTAAAAAAAACAAACTGGATTTACCATTCAAAATCTCACTGAAGTGTAAAGGATTAGACAGGATTTACAGTGATTAGTAGCAGCTGTCAGACCTAAACCTGCACTCAAAAAAATATGTAAGAGTTATAATTTCCCACATTAGGAAAATGAGTAAAACATTTGTTCTTCTGAAAAGCTCAACTTATCCAATAAGCATTTGATCCCCCACTGACTTTAAAAATGTTATACTGAAAAACAAGTGAAACGTCTCATAATATTATACCAGATTTATTTTAATTATGACGCCTAGAATATCAAAAGAAAAGCCGCAAAACTTACATTAAAAAAAAAAATCATTTGCATTTTATTGAAGGAAATAAGTATTTGACCCCCCAGTGAAACATCAGTTAATACTTGCTGGGAAAACCCTTGTTGGCAAGCAGTCAGACATTTCCTGTAGCTTTTATAAGGTGTGCACACACTTCAGGAGTAATTTTGGAAACTCCTCTCTGTAGATCATCTCCAAATTCTTGAGGATTTTAGGCATGTGTTTGGAAATGCGAAGCCTCGGGTCTCTCCATAGATTTTCATTTGGATTGAGACTTGCTGGGCCTTTCCATGACTTTGATATGGTTCTTCTTGAGCCACATCTTTGTTTCCTTGGCTGCATGTTTGGGACATTGCTGTGCTGGAAAACCCATCAACCATCCATTTTTAGTGACCCGTCAGAGGCAAGGAGGTTGTCAGCCAGGATTTTGCAATATGTAGCAATGTTTAGCTTCCTGTTGATGTGGTGAAGTCGGTCTGTGCCCTCAGAAGGAAGACACTACCTAAACATAAAACTTCCACCACTGCTTGACAGTGGGGATGGTCATATTCTGTATTTCTCTTTTTCCAAACACGTGGAGTTGAATTGTGGCCAAAGAGCTCAATCTCATGTGACCAGAGTACCTTCCTCCAAACTCTCTCTTAGAGTCATAAATAGGTTCATTGGCAAAATAGGTTCATTTTTTTTTTGGAGACTGTGGTACAAGTTGTCTTGAGATCATTAATTAGCTCCTCCCATGTAGTTCTTGGCTGATTTTTAATTTTTCTCATGATCAATGAGACACCATGAGGTGATTGATATCTTGCATGAAGCTCCAGACCTAGGCCGATTGACAGTAATGTTGTTCTTCTTCTACTTCAGAATATTTACGCCAACAGTTGTCACCTTCTCAGCCATTTTCTTCTATAGCCCATTCCAGTCTTGTGTAGGTCAACAATTTTGTTCCTGACATCTCTAGACAGCTCTTTAGTGCTGCCCAGGGTAGATATGTTGCGGTGTCACTAAGTCTGTTGGCAGGTGACCTTTTATACAGGTGACAGTTTGGGGAAATGTCTTTAATGCAGGAAACAACTTCGTCAAGATCAGGGTGCGTCGGTGGTCTGTGGGAGCCAAGATTAATCATGGTTGTTGGGGTGTCAAATATTTTTTCCCTCAATAAAATGCTTTTTTTAAAATGATTATTTAAATATTACTTACTTTTCAAAATTTTCTTCTTGGTATTCTATCTTTCACTGTTAAAATAGAGCTACCATAAAATCAAAGAATGTTGAATTATTTATTAACATCAGTGGGGAATGAAATACTTATTTCCTCCACTGCAGCTTCATATTTTTTTCAAAACTGGAAAACAAACTGAGAAACACACCCATTACTAAAAAGAATACGTGACAGAAAAACAGCATTTTTATAACAACTTAAGGCAGCATTGTGTGTGGGATTGATCATGCTGTCAATGGCACTGTGTGGAAAACACACAATGCAAGAAAATAAAAGAGACTTCACCAAAATGCTCTACATGGCCCTATAAAGAGCCTAAAACATCAGATTTCTTTTTTCATAACATTGTTATATAAGCTCTGAAATGATTTTCTTATTTGCAGAGTTACCAAATACTGGTCGAATAAACAGCCTGATAATGGTAATGGAGATTCACAGTATGGGGAAGAGGACTGCGTACATATCACCATTGAGAAGTTATGGAATGATCTTAAATGTTCTGCTTCTCTGCAGTGGCTCTGTGAAAAGGATCCGGTCTAAATACTCTGTTTGTTAGGAATTGCTTTACAGTTGAGACTGAGTTTAGCTTTCTCTGCTGTATGCTTGACTGCATCGTTGTCTGTGACTGAGCCTCTCTGGTCTCTGTGAACGTCGACATGAAGGCCTGATTGTAGTGACTGCAACAACTGTGTGCGCCAATGCTGAAAATGATAAAATAATAATAATAGTAATAATAAGAAGAAGTCAACTCATGAACAGAAGAAAAAATAACACAAGACTTGTTTTAATTATAACTGTGGGGAGATTCTGTTGTTGGATTAGTTCTCAGGAATCATAAGAACAAAAAACTGCACTGTCTGCTTTCTGACAAATCATGATATGAAATTCTTCTTCTTTTGTAAAAAGACAATAAACAATATTATTCTCACCATAAGACATATTTCTGAGTGGAGGGCAGCAGTTCATCCTAGTGAATATGAACACATTCCTGTCCACACAGTCTGAGTGACTCACATTTACACACATTCAGACCTCAACGTTTGATCATGTGATCAATTATCATCATTTATTAATGTGTGTTCAGTGAACTTACAACCAGCAGAACATCAAGGACTAAAGGCCTCTTTTGGTTACTTGACAGAACAAAAACTCCTATTTGCTAGGTTTAAAACATTTACTGTACTGGCTACTGTACTGGTTACTGTACTGGTTACTGTACTTGTTACTGTACTGGTCACTGTACTGGTTATTGTACTGGTTACTGTAGTGGTCACTGTAGTGGTCACTGTACTGGTTACTGTACTGGTCACTGTACTGGTCACTGTACTGGTTACTGTACTGGTTACTGTACTGGTCACTGTACTGGTTACTGTACTGGTCACTGTACTGGTTACTGTACTGGTTACTGTACTGATTACTGTACTGGTTACTGTACTGGTTACTGTACTGGTCACTGTACTGGTTACTGTACTGGTCACTGTACTGGTTACTGTACTGGTTACTGTACTGGTTACTGTACTGGTTACTGTACTGGTTACTGTACTGGTCACTGTACTGGTCACTGTACTGGTTACTGTACTGGTTACTGTACTGGTCACTGTACTGGTTACTGTACTGGTTACTGTACTGGTTACTGTACTGGTTACTGTACTGGTCACTGTACTGGTTACTGTACTAGTTACTGTACTGGTTACTGTACTGGTTACTGTAATGGTCACTGTACTGGTTACTGTACTGTTTACTGTACTGGTTACTGTACTGGTTACTGTACTGGTCACTGTACTGGTTACTGTACTGGTTACTGTACTGGTTACTGTACTGGTTACTGTACTGGTTACTGTACTGGTCATTGTACTGGTTACTGTACTGGTCACTGTACTGGTCACTGTACTGGTTACTGTCCATGGTGATGATGGTATTGGAAAGTGTTGTATGACATTAACTTGAAAAGTTGGACCTGTATGTTGTATTTTTTTTTATTCATTAATTTTTTGCAGCTTTTAAAGACAATTAAATGTAAGCTTTCAGATTCTGGATGTGTCTTTTTTCTGTACGCTTCAAGTTCTGGTGATCATTCAGACTTCTCTCACAAATAAAATTTGTGAGAGAAGGTTTTTGAACCATTGAGCAGCGTTGAAGTTTGTTCATTCCTTTGATTTTTTTTGTTTTGTTTCAGTCGATCTTTTTTCTTTCTCCGTTTCCTTTTCCTGTTTATCTCACCCTATTATTCCATTTTGAGAAAACGTCTCTGAGAGCATCAGACAGGAAATCCCTTCATTAATGAAGTTTTACTGTTAAACTTTCAACATATAGACACTGTTTCATTTGTTTCTCTAATTTTACTCCAGTTGGAAATTACACCAAACTGTGTCTGAAGCAAAAGGTGGCAGTAAATAAAGTAACAAAATAAATAAACACACAAACGCATATAGATTGGTCAGTTCAAGGTTAATTGCCAATCTTTAATCCATCTGATAAAAGTTTACAATGTTAAATGTAATTGGAGGGAATTTTCTCTTCCCAATCTTCAGGCAAAATTTCTTTATCTTAATGCCTCATTTATAAATAACTCTAATAACTTAGGTCTTTATACCTAAGTTATTAGTTATAGTGATTTCTTGAAATTAGTCATAAGAAACTACAGACTAGAAGATGAACATTTAATATTCCTCTGACTCGAAACATAACTCATTTACATCTATAGAAACCATTATGGAAATGTAAACACAGCAAGTCTGCAGTGAAATAAGAATTTTCTACCTAAACTGTCAAAGAAATTTGTCAATGTGGGTTCATAAGCTTTTAAACATTGTCTTTAAATCTAAAAGCTTATGATCATTCCTCCTGTAATGAAATTATACCAAAATGAAAGTGTTTTTTGACCTGACCAGAGAAAGTAATATGTCACTATGTAGACACAACCCACACACATCACAGAGACGATTCAACCACAACCGAGTCGTTGGATATAGTTTCCCTGCCTTTGGAGGCCTTTAAATCAACAAGCCCTATAAAGAGGCCGAAAGATACAGCAACATATGAGAAGAGTTGCCAAGTCGTCCCAATCGAGACCCCAAGCTGTAAGCTGAAGAATGGAACCTGCAGATGAGGTAATTGGGGTTTCCCCCATAACATTTGCTAAGCCTGGTGGAAATGAAGCCATTCATCTTGTGTTTTTGAATAAAAAATGTTTAAACTTGAGATGTATGTGCTATTGGAAGACATTATCAACAATCCCTAAACACCAACAATAAAGTCTTAAAAACCCCCCCAATAAATAAAACTAACAATGCTGAGCCTGGTGGAGACGCAACGAAAGCCTGGTGGCCCGCCAGGCTTATAATACTCTGGGGAAAGCCCTGGTAAAAATTCATTTATCCTAAAGTACTAAATGCAGATATACTCTCAGGAATTTCCTGTCTACCAAAGTCCAACTCTATTTTTGTATGTCCTAAAAAATATTTATATTAGAATTGGTATTTCAACTCCTAAAAATTTGCTGCTTAAATCATGTTTGTTTTTGTTTTTTTCTAGACTTTTAAAGAGTATGAAGTCATAAGCAAGAATTTTGCTTATGACTGGTCTGGTCTTGATCTAACACACAATGTACTGTGAAGGAAAAGGGAAATGATACCTGGTTATAAGAAGACAAAAAAAACTACAACTGAACAGCTTTGCCCCTAATGCTCTCATACTCTGTAATTTAATCTCAGTGATTTTTTTGTATATTTAATAAACAAACAAGAAACACAGCAGACTGGTCAGTGATACACATATGTCCTTTTCTGTCTATAATTGTCTAAACCTCAAAAAACCTGCAAACAATTGGCTCTACAAAATATCAACTCTGATTACAAACGTAGCTGCGCTGCACATTTAAGATTTTAGTTGCAAAGAAATGAGGAAACCATGAATCACTTCACTGACACTTCACAGTCATGTGCTACTTGGTCTAAGTCTCAATGACACTAAAGCTAAAATTACACCCTGACATTTACAAAAATGTTGAACATTCAAGAGGTGTGAACGCTTGCAGGGCAAATTAAGCCTCATGAAGAGGTAAAGCCTGTATTCTTGACTTCTATACATTTTTCTGATTTTCCAACATTTGTATTATCAAAATAGCTTCATTTACTCATTGCTTGTTCAAATCCATGGAAGAAGAGCAAAGTGAGGCTGTGCTATGCATCACTGCTGCTGGTGTTGTGTCACACAGTAAACGTTGCAAGTGGTTCATGCTCATTGTTGTCTCTTTATTTGGCCTAAAAAACATGTCTGACCACACATGTACTCCACATATTGATGTTTCACAGTCTGTTTGACATATTTAGTGCATCTGCTTGACCATAAATGTGCAATAAAAATGTTCAGAGTGAAGCAGAAGGAATCGTGATGCACTGAGTATTTTGACTCTCCCTCAGAGGAGTTTATCAATCACTGAATTAAAGGTAAATTAGAAATATTTAAATACTATGATTTTGACATTAATATGCTATTTTGGTCATACATTTTGAAAAAGAGATTTTGAAATGACCTCTGAACTGTCTCATCTTGACCTGTGACTTTACAGGCTTTGAGCAATTTTAATACAATTAGAAGATGATGAATTCAGATTCAATCTTTTAATGTTTCTACTGAAACCATTAACTGTAATAGTTTTCTCATTCTCAGCAAACAAATGTTAAATTCTAGATCTATGGTCTGAGATATAAATCAGGTATTTATGGGTCAGGGGACTGAGTCTCAATGCCAGGAGCCAAAACAGGAGCCTCAGGTCGCCGATCATGTCTTCCACAGAAGAAGGTCCAGGACTTACATCTATGGACCGCAAACCATATCCACTCATAATCAGCAAAAAAGACCTCTACAAAACAAAATCTATGTTTCCTATAGAGAATATTGAAAGTCATTACAGACAGAGTGATGCCATTCTGAGTGAAAACCCAGAACAGGAGCCTCACAGCTGCACCAATCGCATGCAGACGGTGAATTTATAAGATGGGTCAACTGTCCAGTGCACAGCAGCTTTTAAAGAGGTTCAGCTCTATCCCTCAATCACTGATGCAAATTAAGACTCCTGCAACAAAGGTCACCTTGACAAACACCCACATCATTCTGTGTGTGCAGATCTTCACTATTCAAGCTGGATCATAACACAATTTTCTTCTTTTTTTCAACAATTTTTTTTCTTGCAGAGAGAAAGGGGAAAATACATAAAGCAAAGATGCTGAGGACAGGATTCAAACGGGCTTTTCGCTCTATCCACTGTACTAATCCTACTGAGACGGCTGTGTGCTTGATCAACATGGATCTTCCAAGAGTTCATCCGGCGTCCAATAGATTCTCCTCCGATCGTTCATTGGTACCAAGACCACTTCTGGTTTTTAGTTTTGTTGGGCCAACCTGCATTCTGCAACAGCTGTTCCTCTTTTGTTTCTGACTAGTTCATCTAATTATTAATACAGTTCCACTTCTTCCTTTCTATATAAATCGATTCGTTGTCAATGTTCTTCGCTGGTATCTTCTGCTTTCTGCCTCCCTTGACTTGACTTGTCCTGCGTTAAATTGTTGTAAGTTATTCTTTATTTTCTTAAAGTATTCGATTTTGCCACATTATATCTCTATACTTGGCTGCTCTGCAAACTGAAATCTAACAATATCAGCTGTGTGACAGTCAGACAGTGAAATCCAGAGACAATTTCAACTATAATGTCAGAAATAAGTCCTAAGTGACTCGTGTGTAATTTACTGGAAGAAGCAGCATGGATAAAAAATTAAAAAAACAACAACAAAAAAAAACATTTTTGAATTGGTTAACAGTTTGTTTAAAAAAATTGGTTAGCTTTTTTTTTAAAAAATTAAACTGGAATAAACTATTTAAATTTTTTTATTATATTATAAGAGGAATTGCCTTAAACTTCCAGGTGTGAACTGAAAAAGAAGTCATTTAAAAAATGCTAAACTGATGTGTTAATTAAATGTAAATATATTCTATAGTTTGTGACGGCTGATTTAAAGGCGCCACTCGGTGCTTTCTCTGTGATTTAAGCATTAAACATCTAAATTATCTATAAGTTTTTAAAAAGATTAAGGTATTGCTCTCAGAAACAATATTTGGGTTGAAATGCTCAGCATTCTTAAAACTTGCAACTTCCTCATGAAAAACTAATTTTCACTGTGTTCATGTAGTTCTGTTTTTGCTGCAGATAAGACGCTCAAACCAATGGAGGAAATCTATGCAAATGATGATTTTGTCTGCAACATTTCAGTGGTAAAGGACAGAGGTAAGAATGATCTCTGAGAGAAAAGCATAAATTATTTAGTCAATATTACCAAGGAGAAATTAATGGTACTGAAATAAATTGTCTTCAGTTCCTATCAGCTCTAAGAAGAGGCTCTATGTGGGTGTTATTGTCTCTTTGGGGATCCTGAGTGTTGGCCTCCTTATTGGACTCATCAGGCTCGGTTTCCACTGTGAGTTTTGTTAACATTTATTTATCTCTCATCACCTGTTCTGCTTTATTTCTTAAGACATAAAACATTTTATACTATATTATATTATATTATATTATATTATATTATTTCAATCTGGAGAGACTCACACAGAGAAGAAAATAGCAGTTAGAAGATTTAATGGTACAAGTTCTTTGGCGCTCGGGCCCGGCAGAGGACTGTGAGTCGCGGATCATCACGGGCAGGACATCAGCTCGGTCGAGCTCGGACAGTCTTCCCCCGGGAATGAAAACGGGTGGTGGAGTTGGGTGCGGAAGGATCCTGGAAACATCCATCAGAACGGTGGAGAAGAGGGGAGGAGGTGGGTTGTGCACAGCGATGAGCGGGTCGACCCTCTGGTAGCTTGGCTTTTGAAGACGGTCCTGGATGATGATAGGCCCAAAGCGGAGAGTTGCTCCAGCCCTGATTGGGTGAGGTAGGACGTGGCGATTGCGAGATGAATGTCAGCTGGATCGAGTCTCCCAGGTTGAATTTACGCCTAAGCTTCATATTATATATTATATTATATTATATTATATTATATTATATTATATTATATTATATTATATTATATTATATTATATTATATTATATTATATTATATTATATTATATTATATTATGGTATTTGAAACACCAACACAATGTGGTACTATCATTATGAAGTAGAAAGAGAATTATACTTGAAAACAATTTTTACAGATAAAAATCTGTATCTGCTGTGTCAAACTATTCAGCTGCAGGATTTGTCTCTACCAGCTTTGATAAGTACAGTGTTAGTTCTCCACCACTCATTGTTTTGCTTTATGGCTAAAAAGTTACATTTTAGTCTCATCTGACCAAAGCACCGTCTGGACGGCTTTATTCTGGTAGGTTTATAGTTCTGCCATATTCTGTCCATTTCCAGATTATGGATTGAATCCTCTGTTCAAATCTTTTTATGGTCTAAGTCAGCTTTAAGCCTCTCCACCACTTTCTCCCTGACCTGTCCTGTGTGTTCCTTGGACTTCATGATGATGTGTGAGAGACAGAGAGATAAAAACAGAAGTGAAACTGAACACATATAATTCTCCTTTTATATCTTTTCTGTCACGTACACAGTGCCGACCGTCCAGCTCTCTCCTATAGGCAGTTTCTCATCTCTGGTTTATTAGTACCTCTGTCTCTAAATCAAACCCGGTTCAAAGGAGTTTCAGTGGAAAGTAGAAGAAAAACATCTCTGAAAACTTCATTATCAGTTCATTCTTCCCAGTAAATAAGTCAAAGTTTTATCTTCGAACACACAAGTCACTGTATGTCCTTGGAATTAAATAAAAGTTTTAGCAGATTCTCTATTAGATTAATATTTTTCTGTGACAAAACCCTCTGGAAATTATTGCCTTGCTTATAAATCAGAAAAAATATATTGTGATCAAAATCCAGAGTGGTATAAGTCTTTTTATAAACAAGTAAACATATTTTATCAGGCTTAAACAAACATGATTTGCATTTCTAATATATTTTACCTTAAATTATTTCAGCTCACAGATTATCCATCTCAGCAGCAGATCTCTCTGATATGAAAGACAATCTGACTAAGGAAAGAGACCAACTGAATGTAAAACTCTTGGAAAGGTCTAATGAAGTGACCAGGCTTCAGAGTTTGTTGAATAAAAGTAAGTCCTCATGTGTTTGTGAGAACATCTTATTTGTAGAGACTTAAAATCCTTATAATGCAAACTTTGTGTAAGTTGGTTTTAATTGATCTACTTTTAATGACTAGTCAAATGAGTGATGAAGCAAAATTACATTGTAAAACCCGACTGATTTTGAAAACATTGTTTTCTTCCAACAATAACAAAAATCATTTGTCACGGTTTTTGTTTTATTTTGGGATTTGTTTAAATGAGTCTAATTATTTTTTGGGATGTTTTAGAGAAAATCTGTCCTGCAGGATGGAGGATGTTCAGCTGCTCTTGTTATTTCCTCTCTACAAAAACCGGTTCCTGGACTGCAGCGAGAATAGACTGCATGAACAGAGGAGGAGATCTGGTGGTGATAGACGACGATGATGAACAGGTGATGTAATCTTTCAGTGTGAGATTTATACTTTCCTATGTGCTTTAATATAAACATTGTGCTACAAAATGTTTTCATAATTTTTCTTGCATTTGAATACAATCTACACACATTTCCAATAATTACATATTTTAACTATGTTCCACATACAGCTCTGTCTACAATGTATATTGCTGCGTTGAATTTAACAATTTTTTCTGTTTTGAAAAAAAAGTTTGTAACTGAGTAGATACAAACTTTTTTAATTTAGGAATGAATTTATGAAGAGACAAAGCTGTGTAAACACATCTTGCCCTGTGTGAGAAAATTGTCTTCAAAGCTAAAACTAGTTGTGCAAATTTTCTGGAAATAAATTCAGCCGCAATGTGTCATGTTTAGTTTTAGTTTTCTTAACCCACATTGAAAACAGATAAAGGTTTAGTTTTGTTTTTTGTTCTTTTTTGTTAAACACAGAAGTGTGGAAATTGCTCAAGAATTTATGTTTAAGATGCCAGTATAGTTGAACTGGTTACTTTGATTTTAAAGTAGGATTTTGATTATTTTTTTAAAGAAGATATTAATTTTTTATTTCTCAGGTGAATTATTTTTACTTTGCTTTTCTTTGACAAATAGAAAATATTAGTTTTCTTTGGCTTTTCATTGTAATAAGTTGTAAGATAAAACAGAAACCATCTGGAAGAGGGAAGGAGAGGAAAGATTTAAGAACAGCTTGTTTTCAAAGTGATCAATACATCTGGATTACAATCATAATATGAACACTGTGTTGTGATTCAAGTCTAAAAGCAATATTTTTTATGTTCTTTGACAGAAATTTGTTGTTACCCTTACTGAGAAGACAACATGGATTGGTTTGACTGATGAAGAAACAGAGGGACACTGGAAGTGGGTTGATGGCACAGCTCTGAGTTTTCAGTAAGTTTTTTGTATTTTTATTTTATTTCTGACTCAAACCCAGAATGAGATCGCTTTACTTTAGTTTGTGCCAATGCTGGTGTTTTGTTCTGTATATAAATGTAGTGTGCAAAATAATAGCAGTTCAACATTACAAATCAGATCAATTATGGTTTCAGTAGAAACATATTTAAATGATTATTTTTCTACATAATAAGTAGCGTAACAGAAAATGTACAGTCCTGACTGTCATGATATGTAATGGTGGCAAACAATCAAGCGAGCTGTTGATTGAGTCCACAACATTTTAATGTAATAATTGTTATAAAGTAACTCGGTTAGCGTATCAATACTCAATTATTCCATCAAAATGGCTTGTGTGCCACACATGCTATTGATGCTCTGTAATGAATTTATTAATAGAAATGTAAAATGATTTATTACACAGATAAGGTTTAACAAACGGAGTAAACCTTAATCCTATTAACACTCAAAGGACTAAAGAGGGTGAAGTGCCGCCCCAGCAATGAAACAAAAATAACCAAACAGTCTAAAATGAATTGAAAATAAAAACACTGATGGAGCACTGAACCTCCCAAATACAAGTCAGTCTAAAGTGATTAGAGCCAATCAAGAGCAGTCAGACTGTGAGGCAGAACAAAAGGCCATAAAGGCATTAAATGTGACCACAATATAACAACTTTGTTCTGAAAATATTACGTCTTTTTTAGTTTGACTATTGTATAGTAATATTATAACTTTATGGCCCTAAAATTCTAGTGAGGGTCAAACCCAGAAATACAAAAATGATACAGACAAAAGCAACAGTATCTATAGAGATCCAATATTCAGATGGTTTTCAGGAAATAGTTTTCAGCAATAACTCACTGCAGGAAGGTTTTCCACCTAAACAGAAGCACCAGGCCAAAATAAACTTGTTTGTAAAGAAAAAACCTGAAATAATCAAGAAATGGAAAATTGTGATGATATAAACACTTTTTGTAAACACTGCAGTTATTTTTAACACAACTTTGTTTCTCATTAAAAAGTAAAGAAATTGAATCCTTAAAATACAGGAAGTTGTGCTAATTCAAACTGTGTAAATTATTTATTTATCTTCTGGTTCCAAAGACATTTACTGTATATCCACTTGCAATGTTGAACATCAAAACTTAAAAGCAACATTTTCTTTTTGTTTGTTGTGAAACATAATCTGATTATAACTCTCTTGTTTACAGACTTTCTAAGTTCTGGGGAAACGGCCAGCCTAATAATTATGGTGGAGTTGAAGCTTGTGGACAGATCTGGGAAAACTACAAGACATGGAATGATAATAAATGTAATGATTCTTTCCCGTGGATCTGTGAAAAGGATCCAATGTAATAATGGCTAAATATTAATTGTTGCTTTCCACTTTAGACTAAGTTTAAGCTTTATGCTTTATACTCCACTGCAGTTACCTGAAAATGTTTAGTACTGTGTATTAAAGATACATATGGAGGCTTTTCAGACTGAAAATGTGTGCTATTGAATTATGCAAAAAGAAAAATTACCCTGTAGACACAGTGCCTTTAAAAAATAATAATAAAATAATACATTTATAGATTAGTTTTAAATGTAATTTCTTTAACATAAAAGCTTCTTAAATGTGGATCTACAGCCTGTTGTTGTCTGCTTCATTGTAAAGCCTGTTGAAATAAATCCTGTCATCTGTAACATCCAGCAGTGTGTGAACATCCATAGAAAGGCCTGATTTTCATATTCCTGTCAGCTTACTGTACTGGTCACTGTACTGGTTACTGTACTGGTCACTGTACTGGTTACTGTACTGGTTACTGTACTGGTTACTGTACTGGTCACTGTACTGGTTACTGTACTGGTCATTGTACTGGTTACTGTACTGGTCACTGTACTGGTCACTGTACTGGTTACTGTACTGGTCACTGTACTGGTTACTGTACTGGTTACTGTACTGGTTACTGTACTGGTTACTGTACTGGTCACTGTACTGGTTACTGTCCATGGTGATGATGGTATTGGAAAATGTTGTATGACATTAACTTGAAAAGTTGGACCTGTATCTTGTGATTCCTCGTGGCTTTTAAACACAATTAAATAATAAACTTGCAGATTCTGGAAGTGTCTTTCTTTGTCTCTTCAGGTTCTCTGACTCCCTCCCTCCATCTTAGCATGTTGATCCTCAGCGGTCGAATGCTAAGGCCTCCATATTTGAGTCGTTTTTTACCCCTCCACCATTGCTTCACTCTTTCTCTCTTTCTTCACCATAAATGGTTAAAATAAGGAACGTAAATTGAGCTCTGAGATGCAAGTGTCTGTCTCACTTTGCAGCTAAAACCAGGCAAAAGGTTTGTGTTCATTTATAAAAATAACCACAAAATGTCTCATAAGTTTGTGAGAATCTCCTGCAGCAAACAAGATCATTTTGTTAGTTTGTCTTTTTAGTTTTTAAATTTAATATGCAATTGAGGTGAAAGCACATCTTCCCTTTGACAGATTTCTATCAAAGAAGCCCAAACACTTACATCGGATCTCTGACTCTACAGTCATGTACTGTACAGGTTCTTGATTGGATTTTTACACCTTAACTCTAGTTTTCCAACATGTTTGGCCTTGTTCTTTTACACATTAATTGACACTTATCTATTATGGTATGTCTATTACATACAGTTAACCCAAAATTATGAGTCCCAGCAGATTGAGATTTAAAATGATTTTGAATTCAATGAAGAAGTGCTTTTCTGCTTGGGAATGAGACATGCATTAATAAAAGAACATTTTTTTTTTTTATCTAGATATTTTTTTCAGATCTTCTAATGTATTTTTTTGTTGTTAGGCAGTGAAAAGGTCCAGATGGATCACATTTTTCAGATAATGTAAATTTTAACCAACAGAAAACATTGTTTGCTGCTTGACTGTCTGCTGGTGGGACTGAGGGAGGCATTAAGCTGTAGTTGCAGCATGTTGCCACCAGAGGGCGTATTGAACACATGTGTCAAACTCCAGTCCTCCAGGGCCAGTGTGTCCTGCAGTGTATAGATGTGCCACAGCTACAAAACACTGGAATGAAATGGCTTAATTTCCTTCTCCTTGTGTGGATCAAATCTCCAGAGCCTTGATAATTATTCTATTCAGGTGTGGTGCAGCAGAGGCTCATGGAAAAGTTGCAGGACATTCCAGGACCGCAGTTTGACCCCCTTTGAGGCATCACAGTAAAGCGGTCTCCACCAGGCCGGAGCCTCCCTGACCTGCCAGGGACTCAAAGCTGCTGAAACCTGCATGAACAGGTTCTGAAACTACTGACAAGAGTCCAGATAGTCTTGAATTGAGGTTCTGTAAACTTTTAAAAAGACTTTATTGAAGACAGCTAATGCTCATCCACATTAAAGCTCCCAGTTTTAAACTTTTCAAATTTGGATGTTAATTTCCTTTAGCATGTTTAAGGTTCTGAGTCCCTGATGAAACTGGAAAGAGAAACATCTATAGAGGAATATTATGATTTATTATTATTTATAAAATATTTATATATTATATTGTTAATGTTTTTTTAATACAATAATATTTCCTAACCCTGGTCCTCTAAGCACACTGCCCTGCATGTTTTAGATGTTTCCCTGCTTTACTATACTTGTCTATTGAAATAACTTGCTGAAACGAGGAAACACCTAAAACATGCCGGGCAGTGTGCTTTGAGGACCAGGATTAGGAAACACTGATATATAATTTGTTACAGTGTAAAATAATAGACAACACAAACCAAGCACCTTATTATATTTTAATCTTTCACAGTTCAAATCTGTATCTTTGCCCATTACTCTGTAATTCTATTACTCCAAAAATAACCTTTGAAGAAAATTATTCCCAGTGAACATTAGAGAAAAATGCTTAAATTATCTTTAATAAATAAATCCACCTTTGGGTAAATCTGTTACTGATAGACTGTAGACCTGTCAGCGCTGTTACATTTTTGACTCCAATGTGGAAATAACACCAAACTGACTTCAGCACATTTTCCGATGCAGAACTCATATATTCAATGTGAACATGAAGTAAATTGTTTGTTCCAAAGTCCGTTTCAAATTTCTGCTTCATTTGATAATTTTCTACATTAGAGGGCTTGTGTATCTGATTTCAGGCAGAGCAACAAGAACCCAAACGGTTGCTGTGCCTCACTCTGTGTTCACAAACACCTTTTAAAGATGCATTTCCACTAAATGTTCAAGATAAGGAAAGATCCATAATCTGAAAACCAGAACGCACTTTATATCTTCTATATATAAAAGAGAAAATATATGTGTGGAGCTCTGCAAGTCAGAATTCAATCAGCAACAAAGAACTTTTATTTATGCACATAATGAAATGGAGCAGCAAGTGACTTCTAGCAAACTAAACACTTCATCATCTTAACTGAGCTAGCAAAGTAAGCAAAGTGAAAATACTTTTTCTGTTGATGGAGGGAAAAAAACACTTGTGTCTGTCAACACAGTTCAATGTTTGCACTTTTGTAACAGGCGAGTTACACAGTTATGTCTGCTTGGTTGCCGAAGAATAAAAACAAATCATTTTCAGAACTGATTGGTTGGTATTTTTTCACAAATCCAATGTTTGGTAGCATTACATGAAACATCATTCCAAGTTGTGCCGTCATACAACGTGAAATGCACACAGTCCTCCTCACCCCACTCTGGGTCTCCACCACCGTTATCAGGCTGATCGAAGAGCCAGAACCTGGAATAAAGAAATAAAAGCTTTAAAATTGAATTTGAATCATTTCAAGCCTCCAATAATTAGGTTTGTGACGGAGATGTAATTATGGTTATTAAACCGGTATTGTCTTGTGTCCTCAGATTTTGACAAGTTAAGAAGCAATCAGATGAAGAAAACATTGAGACACAATCATTCAAAATGTTTTTTTTTCAAAATCAATTTGATCAACTAAATAAACTTTGAAATTCCTTAAATTTCACATAAACTTGTGACTTGTTTGCCATTCAAATGTAATTCTACTGCATTGTAAAGCTTCAGTGTTTTTATATTCATTTTTAAGTGTCAATAATAAATAACTGATAGATATTGGGGGTAACTTTTTTAATTAGATCAGATAATAAAGTTAATAATGATGCTAAAAAATAAAGTTCAAAGGTTTTGAGGCTCATTTATTTGCATAAATCATTTTCATTTGTGATTTATGCAAATGAAATTCTTAAATTCAATGTGATCTAACTTCCTGTTCATGTTCACTTCATATTTGACAACATGATTTGTCAAATATCAAGTGTTTATGCAAAAACCATGATATAAACTAAAGTAAACACCATGCAGAGTCACTGTCGGCGCTCAATAAAAGACTGGATCCTTACGTGAAATTCGGAGCGGTTCCATCAACCCACAGCCAGGATCCCTCAGTTTCCCGGTCGCTCAAACCAATCCATGCGTCCATCTTGAATTCAGCAAGAAATTGCTGTAAAATGTTGACAGAAACAGGTTTTGATCATTAATTTAGTTAAAAAAAATCTTGCTCCATCACCTTATTTCAAATATTGTGCGACTGGTCGCTTAGCAAATTATTGCTAAATACTAATTTACACATTTTAGAGGAAACTCCTTGTCAGTGGAAAATCTAGTTGAGTCTTTTACTTTTACATTATACCATACAGGAAATACAAAACAACATGCCCACTCACTACATTACATATCATAATTTTAATTTCTCCTCTTATACGCTCAGTCAGCGGTGTCCCTCTAAAATCTCTCATCACCTGCCTCCTCAGGATCATTTATCACCACCAGATCTCCTCCTTTTCTGAAGCAGTCCGCTCTGCCTTCATCCCAGGATGAAGTCTTGTTATCAGAGGCTTGGTAACAAGAGCTGTTGAACGTGAACCAGTCGTCAGGACATGTTGCGTCTGGAAGAAGAGAATCAAGTTCAGATGATTTTCAAATTCATATTTATATTTTAATGTTTCTTTCAATGTGAAGTATCACTGTGAAATATTCAGACTGTTTATATGCGGGCTACAAGGAATGATCATCTAAAAACGACTGTGTTAAAGAGCAGGAAGTGAAGAGCAAACAAGAAACAGCTTTGTCAAATTGTGGCATGAAAATATTATTGTGCTACCTATCATCTTACTATGAAATACATATTGCTCACGTTACAACATAGCTTATTTTTCTTCCAGCACGGTATAAATATTGGACTGGCGTAATCATATGCTATGCAAGCATCAAAAGCATATTGTTAGAACAATGTTTTATTTTAATGCAAAGCATTTCACATTTATAAATGCCGCAAAATCCTACATAGATAAAAATTTAAACGTCTTCAATTTATCTTAGGAGTGAACATGGCAGATAATTTGGACCAATTTTGTCATGACTTTAATTTCACGTCAGCCGCCTTTACCGAACAAAACTAAAGACTTCCTTTCAAACAAATTGCAAAACCGGAGCAACTCTTTAGTCGTCTCACCAAGCTCGGTGTTCAGCAGGTCTTTCTCAACGGATAGGAGAGAAAGGTTTTTCTCACTTTCTTGGAACGACGCTGTCAGATTGACTGAAAGTCCGGAGAGGTGATTTTCTTCTGTCATATTAAACATGGAGTTATCTGAAAATAGATCAGAAAAACGAGCTTGAAAGTTGAAACAGAAAAATTAATCAACACCACATGGGCTTTTGGCGTTATACATATATATACGTGTTTATATACTAAAAGTAATACAGAAATACCTACGCTATCAATATTTTTTATTAAATAAAAAATAGTGTACGGTGTTTAGGGCTTACTCTGCACAGACCATCCTTCACCGACTCTCACTTTAAGATACTCAATCAGCTGGTCTCTCTCTTTGGTTATGTTGAAAAACGATTCATTGCAGGCGAAGAGACGTTTAGTCAGATCACTCAGGAGTTCCTCATTTGAATTACATTTGGAGTCACTATCTGAAATAAATGAACATAAGAAAAGGATGTGAGTTCAGAAAGATATCAGGAGAGCTTTGAATTTAAATGTGACTTCTTGAAGGCTCTGAGATCGTAATTTGTGAAAGCTCACTCTGTGCGGACAGAGCTCTGTTTAGTTCTGCAGATTTCTCATCAAGCGTCGTTTTCAGCTGTTTTATTTCTGAAAGTTTGGAGTCGTGAGTCTTTTTCAAGTCCTGGAGTTCCTCAGTTAGTTGCCGTTTGGCGTTGTTGTCTGTAATTCATGAGGAAAATAGATTTTTACTGAGGGAAAGACGACAAAGACACAACAATGTCCTGACGGGACTCTCATTTGGCTTTGTTTCAGGAAAGTTGTTATTCAAAACGATAAAGCATTACATACATTATAAACTGCTACAGAAGAAGTTATTTGTACCATACTTAGTTATCAATAGAAAAATCTGTATTGTTATTGCAACACATCAGGCGACATGTCATGTAATTGTTGATCAGAACTTTTGTCTGGTAAATCTTTGACCTTGGAAGACCTCTTTGCCATTACCCTAATCTTAAGATCCTTCTAAAGATTCTGCATTGGATTCAGATCAGGACTCTGATTGGCCCACTACAAAACCTCAGTATTACATAGAAATACTCAAAAATTACTTTTAATCCTCTGTGTCAGGTGTAGTATCAATCATAGACTTATCTGTACATTAGAAACAATTTCTGTTCATGAATAAATACTTCCTGTTTAGTCCCTCTTTTCATCACAAAAATTAAACGTTTATTTACTTATATTTCTAGAAACTTCCAAATATCAAAAACTAAACTTACCATCATATACTTAAATAATAATTGAAAATTGCTACCATCCTAAAATCATGTATAAAAATAGGACAAAAAATAAATAAATAAATACCATCACTTTCTTTTCAAAAGATGTTTTAGGGAAAAAAAAAAGTAAATTTCTGGCAAAAGTTTTGTGCTTTAAAAACAAACAAGATATTTTTTCTGACTTCATGTGTTGAGAACGAAGACCAAAGAGAGTTATTGAAACCTTTAGTTGGATGCGCAGGTCGTAATAACAAGTTGTTATGAGCAGACTCACACTGAGTGTTGGCGACCAGCAGTCCGATGAGCAGGCAGATGCTGAACACGCCGAAGAACAGAATAACACTCAGATGGAAACGACTCTCTGAACCTGAACAGAGGGAAGATTACAGCCACGACACCGGACAACAGAAACGACATCAGGTTGTTGGTCTGAACTAAACTCACCTCTGCAGTTTCCTAAAGAAGCAGAATTGGAAAGTCTGCTGTGTTGAACATGCATGTGCTTCTTCTCCATCGTGACCCGTTGGCTGTGGGCTGTGCAGCACCAGCAGTTAATGTAACCTGCAAATCAGGACTGGTACCAAAGACTCTTCCTGTGCCTAGACACACCCACAGACATGACAAGCAGCACCGTCACACAGGAATCTGTTGAATAGTTGGACATTTTTGGTTTGCAGTTTTATATGCATATTGGTTTCTTCTTGAAAACTCCCACACAAAGAAAGTCAACATCCTGCTTTCTCCGCTGCTTGATAACAATGAATGAGACGTTTTGTGGTGCATTTCTGGCATGCGAGAATATAAACTGAATATTGTAATGATGATACTTGATAAAATATGACTTTTACATGGAGTTTTATAACCAGCTATTCTCGCTGGTTATTCTATTAAATGTTCAGACGTCTCTGAGGTGAGGAGGTATTTAGTCATGTTAATCATGATTTTAATTTATGTATGTATTTTAAACACATTAGAGCCTTTGGTGTTAATCAGCTTTTCATAAGAAAGTTTTTTAGCATTTTACATTTTTTGATGGTTTCGGTCCATCAAACAGATGTTATCATGAGACAAAAATACAAAATGCCTCCATTTGTAAGCAAAAAAGCTATCCAACAAACCCGACTCTGTGTGAAAACTATTTTTTTCCCCTTGATGTGAACAGCTGAAGTCACCTGAGTGTTTTGCATCACTGTGGTGGAAATTTTGTAAACTTGCTTTAATTTAACAAGACTGAAGAGGTTTGTAGAATGAGCGACCTGTTCAATCAAATTAGGATTTAAACCGGGACTTGGTGACGCCACTTCAAAACCTACTGTTGCTCATTTTCCTTCTGAGGTGGATTTGCTGGTGTGTTTTGAATATTATTTAGATCACAGCATTGAGTGATTTGAGGCTACAAGACCTTATTGAGATCAGTCTTTCTTTTTTTTTCTTAAAAATAGAAAACAAACCGCTTATGGTGTTCACTCAGATCATCACTTTCTGCTATTAAAACTGGCTTGATGACATAAAAGACTTGTTTTGAAAACTAAAAAAATGAAGAATAACATAAGAAGTGCATCAGTCTACAAATTGATAATTATTATAACTTTTTTTTTCTGAAAATGTAGCTTAGAAATTGAAAGTAAAAAATGGAAATCTAAAACAGGGGCAAACAACAAGGATAGAGGTTTTTACAAAGTGTCAGACTATTAATGATTTAGGAAATTGTTGTTGGAACTTTTTTTTATAAAATTCCAGCAATTTCACCTGATATTTGATGAAAGATGCACTTTGCAGCAAAGAATTAAATGAATTCAGAGATGTTATTTTTTGCTGCAGAGCTGCAAACAAAAAAAAGAAACTTGAGATGAAAAAGACTTATTTAACATCCACTGCATTCGTACACATGAACGTCAGATAAATCTTTCTCATCTCCTGATTTCTTTGTTTTTGCTGTTTGCCAGGCAGTGAAAAGATTCTGATGGTTGACATGAGCAGAAAACCCAACTTTGAAGCAGCAGGAAATATTTGTGCTCGTCTGTCGGTTTATCTTTGCAAATAATCTGCCACAGACTTTTAAAACTCTTAGGGTAAGTGCTGTGATAAGAAACACATAAGCCTCGACCCAATTTCCAACTTCCCCTCCGCTGTAAATCAACCACCGCCTCCAGCTTCCTGCGTTCATCGAAAAACAGCATGCCATCAGCTATAAATCAACAATAGCTCTCAATTAATGAAAGATGACATTTAAAAGTTTTACTCTTTTCATGTTTGAGCCAATTAGATAAGCATTACCAAAAGGTTTTGCTTTTTTATCAAATAAACGATCAAATCGTCAAATTACATTTTTCATTCTTTTAGTTTTCCAGGTCAAAAAGCAGCTATAATAAGAGCAATAACAGAAATAACAACAGCCACTGCAATTTAACGAGTCAAGACGTTGCACTGGAAAAAGAAAACGGTTGATCCAAATTAAAAAGATTGAGTTAATTTGTTGCAAATAATCAAATTAAATTTATCCAAGTAAATTTATTAAGTTTATAAAATTGCCATAAGCAAACATAATGTAAATTTGACAAACACAATTAGACTACATGTGACAAATTAATTATTTTTATTTTAAGTTGAAGCTCTATTCGCATTTTTTCAGCATGTGAAAGCTTCCAATAAATAAATAAATGTTATTTCACATAAATAAAACATGTTTCAACAGATAGAAAATGTCTTCAGTGGAAAAAAAAACTAATAATAAAACATTAAAGACTCAATGAACTATTGAGTTCATTATTGCTGCTTAATCATCTAATAATTTTGCCCGGGTTTAATTAGTTCTTCTTACATTAAAGGAAGAAATCTATGTGCGAAAATTTCTATGTGCAATTATCCCGGAGAACGCTTTATCTCATCACTTTGTAATAACTCAACTACAAACTCTCAAGTGATAATTAATTGTTCAGTGATGAAACCACAGATTTCACCTGAAATAAATTAACCAGGCAATTCAGTACATTTTTCTTAAATTATGACTTTAACGATAATAAAGGGAAATTAAGCCGTATTTTGATACGGTTTAATTTATACAAGCAGTAGTTATACTGCTTGTATAATTACTTTCTTTCAGTCTCTTTGAAATCTTCATGTTCCGGATGCACAATTTCTAATACTGCATTCAAAATGTTTTTATTTTGTCAACATATTTACATTAGATGAAGCAACACTCAATGAAAAATTAAAACCATAAATTCTTTCCCAAAACTGTTTCAGCCTTCAGCAAATTTCTATGTGCAAATTCATTAAATATGACTGAAGATGTTATAAGGTATCTGGTACAGGTATCTGTACTCCCATGAAGCTCATAGATGCATCCTTGAAAGTTCGACAGACAGAGTTTTGTGATTTTTATTTATTTTTTTTATTTTCCTCATATAATAAAAGCAAAATGTAGAATATTAAGAGGAGATTCAGTTTCTGGCTCTTTAGCATTTTACATTAAAATCGATTCATTGTTAGGAACATTAGAAATAAAGAGAGTGAGATGTTAAAACAAATCTGACATTTTAGAATGAAATAGTACTGAAATTAGTGAGAAAAAATAAATAAATTACCATTACATAAAGTGGAAACTTTAAAACGAATAAATAGTTTTTTATCTGTGGAAGTTTTATTTGTCTCTCAGGCTTTTGACAAATTCAGAATGGCATAATAGATACCTTTTGTTCTTGCTTTCAGTTTTTTTTTCCTTTATTTTTTACAATTGATTAAAAAATGGCAAAATGAAAACAAATAATAATTAGTTCAATTTGTATTGTTATTGCTATTTGTGTATATAATTTCCGTTCGAGATGATTGTCTTATGTAAAGGCATAATTTTAGTAAATTAATTTTTGATTTTATTTTTCATTGTTAATTCATTAAGTGTGCTTGGTTGCTTTTTTTATTTTATTTTTTGACTTGGCACTCTGTCCTTGTTCTTTGTTTTCATTTAATTCAATCTGTGAAAATTATTGTTATAGGAGATTTGAAAAAAAAAAAAGAAGAAGAAAAGAAGCCAGAAGAAGCTGCTCCAAAGGAAAGGAACGGGATCACTTTAGGACGGTTCACTCACTAGCAGGAAGTGACCATACATTTTATTTTGAAAGGAACAAGCGGATACGCAATACTTGGCGTCACATCAGGGAGGCAACATGGCGAACGCCGGCGCAGCAGCGATGGACGAAACGATGCGATATGCCGAATATTCCCCTAAGACGAGCGTTAGGAGTGACGCAGAGATAGACAGACGGTTGGTAAGTGTCCGGGTTGTGGTCGGCGAGCTTTTCAGAGTCTGTCAAACGAATATAGTTTGATTTAATGACAAAGTCTGTGGCGGTAACCGCCGCGCTGACCGCCAACGGCGTCGAACTCGGTTACATCAGAAACGTGATTTCCGGTGAAGCAGCTTTAATTCAGCGGGGAGAGCCTGCTTGGTGCAAAGTTACCTCCGAGTTATTATTGAGAAAACATGTACTATTTATTTTATCTAGGTATTTATTTATACATTAATGACTCTTCGAAGGTCATTATGCATGTTCGTGTCGTGACCTTAAATATGAACCCCTTTAATCAAGTACATTTTCACTAACATAACCGACATAAAATGTAATAATTCATACATATCCTGTGTTAGGCAGGTCCAAGGATTGAAATGCATGCACTTGTTCTGCAGGAAAACGTTTGGGAATAAATAGGCTGATTAATAAACTGAGTGCATGTCGTGAAAAATAACATTCAGGGATCAGTCTTGTATAATTACTGCTTAAGTATGAATGATGTAATGTTTATATTCCATTTATTGGTGTAATTTATTCATTTAAACATGATTAAACTCTGTCATATGGCATTATGCAGCATGCTGGGTGTGTTTGAGGGTATTCAGAGTAATAGTCAGGGTTACTTTGCAGTCTTTATAGTTTTTATTTAATGTTAAGGGTTTTATGAAAGTTTTTTCTAGATCTGGTTAAGTCTCCAAAAATGTCTCTGCTGTCATAATGTGCTGCTGAAATAAAAGGACGGAAATAAAAGCCGATTGAAACCAGCTTTCCTGGCTGGGGAAATAAGGCAGACGCTCAAAATGTGTATAATTGTAAATATTAATTTCAAACTCAGGTTTGCTGTTTGCCTTTTATTCCCATTTTAAAGCAGGAATGAAAAGTCTGCAGATCTGAGTGTGAAAAATTCAGACATTTAGACAGGAAAAATGTGTAGGAACGTTGAATAGTTTTGCATAATGGTTCTTAGTTGCCTAGTAAGTTTTTATTATTACGTTTCTCCTTTTTCATTAACTTACATAATAACCTGCGTTAATTTTATGATGTTCATTTGAAGTTTATGTTTTTTTTAGGGAAACTTATGGTGGATGTGCGATTTCACAAGTCAGTTTATTTTCATAAAGAAAACACATCCTCTGACTAATTTACCTCTTTAGCCACTAAAACGTTAAGATGGTAACATTAGGAATTCAATAGTATGATAGAGATTGGTTCCTTTTTCAGGCTGAAGTGGATCACACTGCAGCAAAGCCTTCATATGGTGTGTTTATTTACCAGTTTAACCTTGTCTTGTGGACAGGGAGGGACTCTGATCGCGGTTGGCCTT